TGGACCTAATTGGTTGTACTCTATTGTGTTTGACTACCTTCATTCGATTGAGTTTTAACACATTTTAACATGCTTGGCCAAGTTCGACCGTTAATAGTTAAAATACTTATTTATGATTTGTTTTGTTCAGCTTTCATTGTGAAAATTTATTGCGGAAATTTATTCCTAACATGCAAATTATGAAGGAAAAATCCATTGCGGAAATTTATAAGGTAAATGATTAATGCTTTGCACATATTCTAATATATTTATTTGGTTAATTTAACAAAAAAGTAATGCCTTGCACCTTTGATTAATGCTTTGCACATGATCTAATATGTCTCATTTGGTTAATATAATTGATGCCTTTTAATTTATGACAATTTTAATAGGCTTTTTGGTGTGTTGGATTTTGAAACTTTATATTTTGTATATTTACTTTCCTTTTAGTTAGTACTTTCCTTTGAACAAACCAAATTCACAAAATAATATGAATTCATAATGTTGAGATTGATTTTTCATATATAAAAAGTATTATTAAGGGATATTACGGGGAAGGAGTGGAATGAGCTAAGAATTAATAGTTTGTTTAATGAAGAAGACAAAAAATTAATTCTTAGTATCCCTATTAGTGTACATGATCGGCCTGATGATTTCTGGTGGTCTGGCGAGAAGCATGGAGGTTTCTCGGTGAAGAGTTGCTATTAGAAGTTAATGGGGGATCAAATGGTGGGGGCATGGGGTGGCTGGAATCATTTATTGGATCTTCATATTTCCCCAAAATTTAAATTTTTTGCTTGGCAGGTGGTTGATGGTACTCTACCTATTGTGGATAACTTGAGGAAAAGAGGCATCCAAATCCCGGGTGGTTGCAAGCTTTGTGGAGCTTTAGAGGAAGACATGGATCATGCTTTGAGAGGGTGTTCGAAGGTGGAAGGGGTCTGGCAACTTGCTGAAATACAAACCGAGATGGGTGCTAAAAACTTGGAGCAGTGGCTTGCGGCAAATCTGGCGCACGCATTGTCAGAACGTCGGGGATGGTTTGTGGCTGTTCTTTGGTGTGTTTGGAAGAGGAGGAATAAGTTGATATGGGATAACAAGAAGCAGGAAGCTGAGGGGTTATACATACGGCAACCATGATGCTGCAACAATGGAGGAAGGCACATGACAATGGCAGTGGGGGGAAAGAATGGCGAATCGACTTCAAACACAGTCGGTCATGGTGCGAGCTTAGCAACAGGGAGTTCGGGGAGGCAGTCGGTGGGGGGGTTAGGCGACAGGGATGGAGACAGGTGGCAGAAACCGAGAAGCGGATTTATTAAATTTAATGTGGATGGAGCTGTTAATCAAAGTGGAGGCATCAGGTCATGGGGGTGGGTTGCTCGGGATGATCAGGGAGAGTTTATACGAGCAAAGGGAGGATCCAAAAGAGCAGAATGGACAGCAGAGGAAACTGAAGTGATGGGGCTCCAGGATGCAATTAAAGAAGATGTGGAAGAAGGTTGGCATAACATGATTTTCGAGATGGATGCTCAAGTGGTGGTTCAGGGCTTGAAGAAGGAACGTGGAAACTCTTACCTTTCCTTGATTTTGGATGACATTAGTTTTTTTATTGCATTAAAAAGTGATTTTGAAATCTCTTTTTGTAGAAGATCTGCGAATCATGCTGCCCATTCTTTAGCTCGGGCACATGTCAATTCACCGGACCAGACGGTTTATTATGAGGATAGTCCTGCTTGTATTCATAGCCAGATGGCGAACGATATGTTGATTTAATAAAGTTTCGGGGTTGACGATAAAAAAAAATATATAAAAAGTATTAACCGTGAGAATAATTTATAATTTCAAAACACCACTAAGAAAAGAGTAATTATAAAAACATGAAATTTGAATATTAGGGTAATTTGAGTTTGCACCCCATTTTATTGTGCAAATTGGACTTTGCACCCTTCTTTTAAAAAACTTTGTTTTTGCACCCCAACCCCATATGAAAAGACAAAATCGCCCCTCCATCAACAATTTTGTTGACCTTCAACACATTCTAGCTCAAGGGCATTTTTGTCTTTCCATGTGGGATTGGGGTGCAAAAACAAAGATTTTGAAAAATGGGGTGCAAAGTCCAATTTAGTCAATAAAATGGGGTGCAAACTCAAATTACCTGTTGATTTTTTTTATAAGAAGAAAATAATAAGATAAATTTTGAATTTCATGATTGTTGAAGATATATTAAATTAATAATCCAATTTATAAACAAATAACATCATGCTTATATATATATGGGTGTGTGTGTAGGGAAGAGTTCAAATAAAAAGACTTCTTCCCGTGCAAAGTGCGAAGATATGCACTTTTTCATGTTTCGCATGCACTTTTTCGTGTTTCTGTTGCACTTTTTCGCGGTGACGAAAATGTGCAACATATTTACGAAATTGTCACCGCGATTTTGGTCGAATTTTGTGCATTTGTGGCTCATTTTGAGCCATTAGATGTGGAAATGAATGCACAAAATTCATTCTCACTTTGCATGGGAAGAGGTCTTTGTATTTGAACCATCTCGTTCAAATAAAAAGACCTTTTCCCGTGCAAAGTGCGAAGATATACACTTTTTCATGTCTCGCTTGCACGTTTTCATGTTTCGCTTGCACTTTTTCGCGGTGGCGAAAAAGTGCAACATATTCACGAAATTGCCACCGCGATTTTGGTCGAATTTTGTGCATTAGTGGCTCATTTGAGCCATTAGATGTGGAAATTAATGCACAAAATTCATTCTCACTTTGCATGAGAAGAGGTCTCTGTATTTGAACCATCCCGTTCAAATAAAAAGATCTCTTCCCGTGCAAAGTGCGAAGATATGCACTTTTTCATGTTTCGCTTGCACGTTTTCATGTTTCGCTTGCACGTTTTCGCGGTGGCGAAAAAGTGCAACATATTCACGAAACTGCCACCGCGGTTTTGGTCGAATTTTGTGCATTTGTGGCTCATTTGAGCCATTAGATGTGGAAATTAATGCACAAAATTCATTCTCACTTTGCATGGGAAGAGATCTTTGTATTTGAACCATCCCATATATATAAGCCAAATTTAATCGATATGCAATATATTATTGGCTTATTATTATAAATAATATAAATATAATATATATCCAAGCATGATTTTACCTGTTTCCTAAATTTGATTATTAATTTAATATATCTTCAACAATCAACAAAATCAAAATTTATAGTCATTTACTGTTTAAAAAAAAGTGACTATGTAATTGTTAAAGGAGCGGTCTTTCCCTATCTTAGGGTTCGGAAATGTTCCCCGACTTTTAGTGTGGCGGTAGATCGGTAGCTCTTCTACTTGGCCGACCTTAGGGGCGGCGACGAGGTTCGTAGTAGGCTAGTAGGAGTCAGGCGGTGAGGCACTATTTTGGCGAGAATCTCATGGACGGCAACGAGCAGTTTGCGCGGAGGGTTGTTCCCGAACAGAGGAGAGCGGAGGACAGACCGATTGGCAGCTTGGCCGAGAAGCACGGTGGCAGAGGGATCGGCGAAGCTTCGGATGTTCTGGTCATTGATGACAACGAGGAAGAATCTGTGGATATGGGAGTCGAGCGACAGGAGTTCCCGGTGGTTGGTACGATTCTTACCAACAAAGTGGTTCGATTTCATATTTTCAGGGATCTTATGGCAGCACTATGGTATCTAGGAAAGAGTGTCTCGATAAAGGAGATTGGATAAAAGAGGTATCTATTTAAATTCTTTCACTTGAATGATATGAATCGTTTTCTGGACAATGGTCCTTGGTTTTTTGGCCATAATCTGCTTGTTCTAAGGGCCATCAAGCCGGAAGATATCCTGCTTAAGGTCCCTTTAGACTCGGTTGAGCTCTGGGTTCAAGTACACAATGTGATGTATAGTTATGCAAATCCGGAAACCGCTAGAAAAAATGGGAATTATGTGGGAGAGTTTGTCAAATGGGATGAGGATCAATTTGATGAAAAATGGGGAGCTTACATGAGGGTTAGAGTTCGCATGAATGTAGGTAAACCTCTGAAAGTTGGAACCACCATTAGGAGGAGCAAAGGGGGATGAAATTGGGTAGCTAGATTTCAAATATGAAAAGATTCCAAATTTATGCTTTGTTTGTGGAATTATTGGCCATGTAGAGAAGCTTTGCCCTGTACGGTATGAGAAGGGCGGAGAGGGAGTTATTAAGCCATATGGCCCGTGGCTACGGGCGGGGGCAGGAAGAGGAGGCCATCAATGGGCAGTAAATGGCTGGTCTCAACAGGAAACTTCTCAATGAGCGGCATCAATAAGGTGTGCAGGGACGTGTCAACTCAAGATAATGATCCTGGTGAGGTAGGGGATAACAACCAGAGATGGGTAGTGGCTCCTACCAAGACAGAAGAGGCTCAGGTGGAAGAAGGATAAAGAGAATCCAAGAGAAGGCTTACTTGGGAGGTGCAGGATGAGAGTGGTGAAGTGGGGAAAACTATGACACTTGACATCCCAAAAAACGGGATAGGGGCGGGTGCTGGGACCCAGACCCACCAAAGCTTCTGAGATTGTGGGCAGCTAACATAGCTGAAAGACTGTTTTACTTTACTTGCTCTTTGTTTTTTATTTTTGATGTTCTGGATTCATACTTTGTTTTGGTTGTTCTGTGTTTTTCCAGCAACAAAACTCTAGAACTTAGGAGTTAGGACAGATGATTAGTTGTCACTTTGTAACCTATTTTTGTTCTGTTATGATAAGTTAAACCAGTTTTGTTTAAAAAAAAAGTGACTACGTATTTTTACATCTGTTAAAAGTTCAGGGGTAAGCATATCCTTTGCATTGAATTACTACCATTAATTAGACTTCACTGCTGGACCTAATCTCGCTTTGGTGTCAAAATCTTCGAGGGGCATCCCAGGTGCCTCTACGCCTTCTACTGTTCCACAGCATTGGTTACCATAGTATAGCTAATGCACGCCAATTACGTTACTAATTCAATGCAAAGGATATTGATTCGAACACATCAAAAGATGCACATGTCGGAGATAGTAAACAAGCCAACTTCATTCACCTCAACATTATTCTTGCACTGTTCAATCAGCAAAAAGAAGCTAATGGATATAACAATAATCCAGCTTTGCTAGGTTGGAAAATTGGCTGGACAGAATAATAAATAATACTCCAGTAATTGGTAACAGTAACGTAGTGTCTAGAATTGGAGGATTGTTTGTTGTGGAGCAAAAGCCAACTTTCCCTTGTGAATTTTTTTCCAAAAATAAGAGCAAAAAATAATAGATAACAAAATAAAGTTCATGTGGAAACCCTTCTCAATCAATCACTTGACAGTAACGATCTTGATGATAGAAGCAGTCCCGACACGGTGAAGTGCCACAACGGCATCCCCAACCTTGCAGAACCCTTTAGCTTTCGCGTGTTGGAGTGAGAACTCAAGCGCTTCTTCTGTTGACTCTTCATCAGACGCCCTGGCAGATCCTGCACACAGGACAGGGACCAGACCCCTGAAAATAAGACTATGCCTTGCAGGGTACTCATCGCTACATGACCAGTCAAAGGAGTCTGTCTTTATCTCAGGGACAACTACAGACAATATTGGCATCCCTGGCCTGTATTTGGCCACCATCTTTGCCGTACTTCCTCCCCTGGTCAGGACAAGGATAAGAGAGGCCTTTGCAGAGTTTGCTGTTCGGACGGCAGAAGACGCAAGGCTCTCTAGTGGGCTCATGGGAACAGGTGCACTTGCCATCACTCGTTTGAACACGTCTCCGTAATCAATTGTGTTCTCTGCTTCTATACAAATTTTGGCCATGGTTCTCACGGCAAGCTCGGGATAAGCTCCTGCAGCTGTTTCCCCACTGAGCATCACACAATCCGTCCCGTCAAGAACGGCATTGGCAACATCTGTTGCTTCAGCACGGGTTGGCCTTGGGGACTTGATCATAGATTCTAACATCTGAGTTGCGGTCACTACAGGCTTCCCCTGGATGTTGCACTTGTAGATCATTACCTTCTGAGCTAAAAATATCTTCTCAATTGGTATCTCCATTCCCAGATCACCACGTGCCACCATAAATGCATCAGAGTTGGCAAGAATGTCATCAAAGTTTGCAACACCTTCTTGGTTTTCAACCTAAAATTCAAAACCAACACTTTTATCCCAAAACTAAGTAAAAAAAATGAAAATCAGAGCTAGGATGCAGAAATTTTAATAAATCGTTCTTCAAGAAAGACAAACAGAAGCAAGTATTATGATCTTTATAAGTTTAAAATCAACGTTTCAAAAACTCATACAGTCTGGGAGGAACAACTGGGAGACATGATTGAAGCAAACCTTTGACATAAGAATGATTTTCTTTGCATGTGGACCCAGCAGCTTACGGACTTCTACAAGATCTGAGCCCTTGCGAACAAAAGACAAAGCAATCATGTCAATTTGGTTAGGTATCCCCCACTTTAAGATATCATCCTTGTCTTTATCTGTTAAGGTTGGCAGGTCCACAATCACCCCCGGGAGATTGACGTTCTTTCTCTCGCCAATAACAGCAGAGTTTTCACAGCGGCATCGCACAAGACCTTTCTCTTTATCACACGACAAGACAGTAAAAGATATGGTACCATCTGCGCATAGTATTGTACTTTGAGGATATACATCTTCAGCCAACTTTTTATAGCTCATGCAAATCATGTTTTCATCCCCCTTGATGCTGTAATCAGTAGAAATTGTAATCTCTTGGCCCTGTTTCAATTGGACAGGCTTTCCATCTTTCAAAAACCCAGTCCGAATTTCTGGACCCTACAACACAAAAGCTGACATATTTAAGGTCCAATGCTAACACACAATGCATATGAGCAATATAGAGTAAAAAAATGTGACGCACATTGCATCTTATTAACAGCTCCTTCACACATTCAGATATTATCAAACCAACATGGGCAGCATCTAATTACAAGCACACTTGGAACTCACCATGAAATTTATTGTTACTAGGGATGGAGTATCTAAAATAAGAATAGAACTTAAAAAGGGATGATATGAAGGACCCATGGTGTTTAATGAACTGTCTTTCCATATTTCAAAAATGCAGTTCGAATTATGGACCTTACAAGACAAAAGCTTAGTCAAAAGGATCTCACATGTAAGGTAAAATGCTATTCGTATGAACAATAAAGAATTAAAAACAATGGGTGCAAATTAATAACAGCTCCTGAACACATTCGGATTAAATAAAATTAACAGTTGTCACATCTAATTACTAGCACAATTGAGATTCACCTAAGTTTCATGGTTGCAACTTGCAAGAATGACTGAATGAGTATCTAAATTCAGAAAATAACTGAACAAACAGGGTCCATAACAAAGACCCACTAATTTTAGTGAACTGCCCTTCCGTACTACAAAACACAGTTTCGGATATCAAAAGGATCTCATGTACAAGGTTCACTGCTATAGTGCTATACATATGAGATATGACCAGTATAGTTATATAAAGTTAAACACAATGGGTGCATCTTAGTAACGGCTCCTGTAAATATTCAGCTTTAATCAAATTAACAAGTGCAATATCTAATAACAACTACACTAAAATATAAATCACCAATTCTTGTTGCAAGAGAGGAATATCTATATTTAACAACAGAACCAAAAGAAAGCAGTTGTATATCAAAATTATGATCTTGAAGGTTTGCTTAAAACTTTGGGAAAATTCCCGAAATAGGAGTAAAAAAGTTCCAAAATTCCAAAATAGGACTGTCATGTTTTTATTACTAAAATAGGAGTAATTACTGCTAAGTTTGGAAAATACCATCATGTTTAAAAGAGTCTAGCACTGCCAAAACATTGTAGTAATTAGTCTTACTTTGCGAATAAAAACATAATAGTCCTATTTTGAAATATAGGAACATTTTTAGTCCTATTTAGGGTAATTTCCCTAAAACTTTCTCTCTCAGAAAACTAACATGTTGTCAGTCTTTCTTTCTAGTGTATGCCTAGGTTTACTGTAGGCATGTCTAAAGCATCCTATTATTTTTTCCTCAACTGCTCACCACAATAGAATTTGACCATGAAACCATTAAAATAAAAAAGTAAGAAATGTAAGGAATCTGAAATTCTATCGTGAGTTGCAAACAATACAAGGAATCGCTGTGGGAAAGGCACAATTGTCAGCAGAGTAAAATAAGTATTAAAATACGGAAAAACTATCTAAAAAACGACAAACTATTGAAACTTGTACTTCTAAATCATAACTCTAAGTTAATTTACGAATTTTCTCTCCACTAAGAGTTAAAACCTTTTTCCCTTCATGAAGAAGCGAATTTGCAAGAGAAGAGGAAATCATCAAACAGAAAGAGGATATCAGTTTTTTGTAGAAGGGATTAAATGATATGGGGATAAAGCAAATCTCCATTAATGAATACTAACAGTTAGTCACCTCTGATGGCTAACTGTTAATAACTGTACCTAATGAAGTTTCAAATTTCATAATAGTATCTAGACCTAATTGTGAATGAAATTGCGTACTAGAAAGGACATATGTAACTTGTTCAGAACTCAGAGAGTGCTCTTAATACCCAACTAATCAAGGTGTAAGTTTCAAAAAGAGAATCTCCCAACACACAAAACACTGCATACGGTTAAGGTATCAATAAGCACTTCGAATGAGCTGCACAAACAAGCACACCAAAAAATAAGACAGCTAACCCTCATAAAAATCGGCATCTCAAAAACTAGCCATGGATCCATCAAACTGAGATTTACAGAGTAAGCATGTTGCAATATACCTTAGTGTCAAGCATAACGGCGCACAGAATACCGGTATTGTCCATAGCCTGACGGAGGTTATTGAGGGTTTCCTGGTGGTACTCGTGAGATCCGTGAGAAAAGTTGAAGCGCGCGACGTTCATCCCGGCACGGAGAAGCTTTTCGACCATGGGCACTGACCGGGACGCCGGTCCAAGAGTGCAGACAATCTTGGTCTTCGGGCGCCTGACGTCGCCGGCGAAGCCATCGTCAGTGCTATGGGTCGTCATAGATCGACGACTGCGTTGAAAAAGGACAGATATTTTGTAGAGAGAGAGCGCAGAGGCGTGTTGGTAGTTGAATTCTGAAGCTCTCAGCTCTGTTTCGCTGTATATATACTCCGCACAATGCTGAATTTGCCCTTCTACGGAGTATCTTTTTGAATTTTGATTTGTTTTTTTTTTACTGATTGGGCAGTGGTCAAAGGATGGTAAAGACCGTTTACGAGTCCTAATTCGTGCCCTTCTTGGTATCGTGGGACACAAGAAAGTCAACGTTTTCACAATCCTCCTTTCTTATTCTTATTCGTAGCCGACAAGCTTGTTACTCATTTTATTCCAAAGGGAAGAGGGGCAAATAAGCCTCAACCTAACTAAAAAACTGCAAACCACCCCGTTATATAAGAGGTTCTGTTCGGTCATCGTCATTTGCGGAAGTTCCTGTGGAATTTTTTGATAATCTTTTTTGAACATCTTATTCATTAAGTCTAGTTTACTCATATCAAATTTCAGATAAAAATTCAATCGAGAAAGCAGTCAAATGAATTTTTGAAAATAACTGCGCAATTAAACAACGCAGTATATTTCAGAAAATCATTTGGCTACCTTCTCGGTTTTATTTTTAGCTGAAATTTGGTATGAGTAAATTAGAATTAATGAAGGAGATGCTAAAAAAATTTCATCAAAAAATTCCGCTGAGAACCGTCCTAAATGGCCCCCGGACAGGGTGATTTGCACTTTTTTGTTAGTTGGAGGCTTATTTGACCCTTTTTCTCTATTCCAAAATACCGTCTCTTTCCATCTTTTACCTCTCCAGCCACACAATCTGTGCTATGCTTTCTTTTTTGTCCACGTTTAAAACATTCGTTATTGTAGAATAGAATATAAGATGATATTGTGATAAGTATAGACATATAGCAAACTATTGGCTTGCCCACGAGATTGTAATATACTTCGTACATCCTAAACATTCTTTAGGATATTTTAAGAATATGCTTTAGAAACTTAGTAATTTCCTCTAGGCGTGTGTATTTTATCTTTGTGGTTTACGGGTATGTTTGGTACTTTAATAAAAGATTTTTGTAACTCTTATTTTTAGTGATTGAAAAATTCTAAAAGAAAAAAATGGTAGCTATTTAGTAAAAAACTGACTGTTTGAATTAATTCTGTTTGTCATACAAATTGTTGTGACTAATTAATGTTAAAACTTGCATACTTTTTCTTTGATGTTACTCACCGTAGCATCTCAAAAAAGGTTTTTTCTTTTTTTTTAAAGGCTTTTAAAAATTATCATGTCAAACATTCAACTATAAGTTTTTAGAGTCTTTTTAAACAGTACAAAAGCTACTATACAGAAACTTTTGCTTACCTTAGGCCAAGCTCCACCAGCGAGATCGAGCGAAGTAGATCTGACTCAACTTGACAACAACTTCCACACTTAGCTATTTTTGGATATTCTAGTCACACATACCTAAGGTTCACGTCACAACCATATATAGTTGATGGCTTTGCTGACCCGAGGTAGTAGGAAACTGAGAACGAGAGACTGAAAAGTGGTAACTGTTCACTGCAAGCCACACGTGTAAGCCTAGAACTTTCTGTGTGCAACCGACTGGGTGACATCAGCCCTGGATAGCTGTCATATTGATGACGTAATTCTCATTGCTTATGTGAAACTTGAATGCTGGAATGACTAAGTCCATAATCTTTCTGGAGGCCCTGGTCTCTGTGAATTTGAGCTTGGGGGCAATGTGTTTACTTAATAGGAGGATGACCTCAATTTGTTCATGTGAAGTAATTACACTCTCTTTGGTTCTTGGACTTAGTCGGACTTTGGTGTTGACCTTGGTGGATGGTGAGCTCGGCCTCAGGGCCCTCAGATACAATTTTGGGATTATCTCAATGATCGGAGAACTGACTTTGGAAACAACCTCAACGAACTCAGGCTCGGGCTCAAATGCAATTTTGGACTTATCTCGATGATTTGAGAACTGTCTTCAGAATCAACCTCAGTGGCCTCAAACCCGGTCTTAGCGGGAATGACTTGGTGATTTTTTGTGCTCGATTGTTCGCGAATGTAGATACCCCTGGAATATATGGGTTATACTCCATCAATAGTAATGTCATCGGGCTTGATTCTAGTGCTAACATCAATACTAATATAATACTAACACCAACCTAACACACCATGGACATCCAGGGCCGGCCCAGGGCGTGTGCAACCGCACAGGGCCCGTGAATTTTGAGGGCCCAAATTTTCACTAGTCCTATTATTATCCATAAGTAAAGCCCAATAGGTAAGATTTGTATGCTTCATTGAAAAATTTAAACACTAGGGGGTTTCAAACCCTGGCAAATTGCATAGGCGTGAGGACGCTCAACCAAACCAACTACTTGGTTGATGCTAACATTTTTCGAATTTGCTTTTTTTTATACTACATATTATACAATTATTGATATAACTCATAAGATCTTAAGCCTTATACCATCAACTACAATTATTGATATACTACATACGAAGTATTAATTTGTAATCATAATAATAACTATTTTTTTTTATTTCATGCCATTATTAAATTAAAAAACTATTAGATATGTATGAAATATTCATTACGTCTATCAATTATATTTATATTTTTTATATAAATATTTTTTTGACAACTTATCCATTTAATTCCAAACAATCAAACACATCTTAAATTTATGAATTCTATTTTAGATAATGATACATTAATTTTTAATTCAATCTTATAACATTATTACTACATATATTTTTACCTATTTTTAGGAAAAGGCCCACATTTTATTTTTTGCACAGGGTCCGTATTCTCTCAGGACCGGCCCTGTTGACATCATCATTGTGTTTCCCAAAACATTCAGGGGACCCTTGTCATATTCTCATTAACTTAGATATCTTGGTTTGTTGCTTAGGTCTTACTTTTCTATACTAGCATCTTCCAAAACGTGGAAATGAATTCTCATTCATTGTATTGTTATTTTGTCAAATTTAATACACATTTTCTCACTTTAGCTTTCCTCATTAACTTCTCTCGAGATCTACTATACCATTCATCAATATCTAAACGAGTATTAACAATAAAAAACTGATATACTTTCATACAATTAAATGGTCTATTAAATCGCCAGATTTGAAAATGATATATATTTGTTACCCCAAATAAAAAAATAAAAAGAATTAAGTTGAGCACAAGTACAAGAAGGTCGGGAAAATGAGTATGGTTCCTGTGTAGAGCCAGTCTACAACGTCATTAATAGACCAATCAATGTATATGAGCCATGTAATTAGCACCACATGTGACATTTGATCCATCGATGCCATTAATTGACATGACTATGGTCTATGGGTGCACAACAACGCAGTATTTAATTTGTGGCGTGCCATGTACCAATAGTAAGGCCTTAGACAAACTTCATTCTACTATGCAAGAAGACCTTTGGACAAACATGCAATTAGCCCAGTGTGTTTTAGATTTATAACGCATAGCTGATGGGAATATTTACTCCATCCAAGAAGCTGGTCTTGACTTGAAGGAGTAGTCAGTCTTCAACTGCAGTTGTTTGCGGAACCAAAGAGGCTGCAAATCTTAGGGTGTTTACGGATATGGTGCGGGCACTTATAGAGAAGATCTTTTGCCTCGTACAGCCTGCCCTCTTCAAAGAATGATTCAAAAATGTGCTGGTATGCTGCGGCAGAAGGATATCCCTTACTAATGGCCTTCAGAAACTCCAGTGCATCCTCCACTGTCCCTAGCTTGGAAATGTATTTATAAAAAGGTTCTACAAAAGGCGGATAATTGATTTTCTTCATCCCGCAAAGTAGATCCAATGCTTCTTCCAGTTTCATTTCTCCCAACAGCTTATGAATCAGATTCTTGTACGTTGCTTGCCATGGTCGCACATGTGCCTTAGCCACCATCTCTTTTAGCAATTCATATGCACCTACTAATTTTCCCTGATCGAGAAAACCGTTTATTAATACATCCAACAGATCACCATCTGCATCAACATTTTTCTCCACCATCTTAGCAAGACAAAGCAATGCTTTGTCTACTGCATTAGCTTTACAGTGACCTTGGATCAAAATGGTCCAAGTCTTGATATCAGGATTGCATCCTAGTCCTTCCATTGTATCTATTACCATAGAGGCTTCCTCCATTCTTCCTGCTTTACAAAGTCCATGAATTAGTTGGCTGTAAGTGATGTTGTCAGGTTCATACCCTGCACTTCTCATGGCTTCCATAATCTTCGCTGCCTCATCAAATTTCCCAAGGCTAGTCATGGACCTATGAATCACATCATAAATTGCCTTTGACAGTGAATTCCCAGATTCCTCAAATTTTTTCACAACCCTAAATAGCATATCAATATCTGAAGGCATACGAGTTGCAATGCTTCGCAAAAGTATGGTAAATTCACCAGTTGAAGGCTTATAAGGGCTATCCATCATATGCTCATAAAGTTCTATGGCATCTTTGAATCTTCGAGTTTTTTGAAAATACCTCGAGACCTTTATGTATGTATCAAGATCCATACAATAGCCCGCGGTCTTCATCTTCTCCAGCATACTCCAGAACTCTTCAACAGATTCTTCTCGCGGAAGAACCCTAAGAATCCCATTATAAGTAATGCTGTTGTGCTCATAGCCAAGACCTTCACCTACCCAATTGAAAAACTTGACAGCCTTTAGAGGACACCGTGCATCTCTAAGTTCCTTTAGAACTCTAAGTATAAAATCATCAGAAAGTAACAACTTTTTAGCCACCAGTTCTTTCTCCACCTCATACCCCCAATCTGACTGATTAATCATTGCAACCACCTCATTCACTGAGTCACAAGTAGCATTTTCTTTCACTCTAAGCTTGTAAGCCTTTTCCAAAGCTGCAGCTTCAGTATCCATCTTTGATTTCCGAAAACTGGAATGTATGGATTTATAAGTTTCTCCATCAATACAAATCCCCTTCTCTTTCATTTCTCTTATAACTACCCAAAAATCCTTCATAGAATCCTTTTGTGCGTAAATCCTAAGCATCAAGTTATAAACAGAGGAATTTGGTTCAAACCCACTTATGTTCACAACCCAATTAAAGAACTTCCGAGCTTTTGGCGGGTCCTTAGTGAGCCTTTTCAACACATACATGACAGCTTCATGG